AGAATGTTTTATGCATGTCTCTATCTGTACATATGAAAATTTTCTTGTGGAGTCTCAATACTGTCGAAGAGATTCATGTGCAAGTGATTCATGCTTTAGAATCTTGTAAGGAGATATTAGTTGGTGTTTACATGAAAACACATTTTCAATGTTTTTGAGTAAAAATTATCTTATAAATCTCAATTCAGTAGTTTTCAGAGAAAGAATGACTTGAACTCATATTTGAACTTTGAGACTTGTCCTGGATCGAGTTGAGTGTTTTACGTAATATTTCCACACTGACTTGAGTCTGTTGGTTACAGTTAACATGCATACCAAAACCTCGATTAAGAGAAGTGATTGAGGTGAATAATTGTACTTTATAGGGTTTTGGGGTTTCTAATCACATTAGAAGTCAAAATGTGGTGTCGCTTGATTTTGTTTTCTTTAAAGATAATAGAAGGACTATTCATAGTACATTGCTAAATTGGTTGAGAAAAGTTCTGTCATTGGCTAATTTTGGGTAGTTCCCCAAACTGGTCATCTCTCTTCTCCAGACAAAACAGAACAAACTTTCAAACAAAACCAAAGCAAATCCTCCAAAAAAGGAAACAAAATCTTCTTCCGCTCGTACATAGGCAGAGGATGATGATGATCTTCATCAAGATCATCTTTTCTTGAACCCCAAAAGAATTTCTAGCTAAAACCTGTTATTTAGTACATAAACTTGGTGAAATTTTGTAAAGCAAAGAGAACAAAATGAATGATTTATTTTCTAGCTCGTTCAAGAAGTACACGGACCTGAAGCAGCAGGCCCAGATGGATGATATCGAGGCAGGTAAAGAGACGATGAACCTCGATAAGTTCTTCGAGGATGTCGAAAATGTCAAAGACGACATGAAATGCGTAGAAACTCTTTACAAGAGGCTTCAAGACTCGAACGAGGAATCCAAAACGGTCCACAATGCTAAGAAGGTGAAAGAACTCCGAGCTAAGATGGATGGAGACGTCGCTCAAGTTCTCAAGAGAGTCAAACTCATCAAACAAAAGCTCGAGGCGCTTGAAAAGGCGAATGCTAATAGCCGTAATGTCCCTGGTTGTGGACCTGGATCTTCCACTGATAGGACCAGGAGCTCTGTCGTTAGCGGACTCGGGAAGAAACTCAAGGATTTAATGGATAGTTTTCAGGGCCTCCGTGCGCGGATGAACGCTGAGTATAAAGAAACCGTAGAACGAAGGTGAATAAGTTCTGTTTCCCTTTTCATTGCTTCTTATAGGGCACGTTATGGCTCTGTTTTTTCCTCTGAGATGCAAAACGTAACCACCACATTGAAATTGTTGCAGGTATTTCACCATAACCGGAGAAAAGGCAGATGAGCAGACGATTGAGAACTTGATTGATAGCGGAGAAAGCGAGAATTTTCTCCAGAAAGCAATACAAGAACAAGGGAGAGGCCAAATATTGGACACAATATCAGAGATTCAAGAGAGACACGATGCGGTAAAAGAGATAGAGAAGAATCTTATAGAGCTTCACCAAGTGTTCTTACACATGGCAGCTCTGGTGGAAGCACAAGGCCAACAACTAAATGACATAGAAAGCCATGTATCAAAGGCGAGCTCGTTCGTTAGAAGAGGTACAGATCAACTCCAAGATGCGAGAGAGTACCAAAAGAGCTCGAGGAAATGGACGTTTTACGCCATCATTCTCTTCCTCATCGTCTTCGCTTTGCTTCTCATACCTGCCTTACCTCATATCATGCTCATGTTGAAGTGATTTTTTTTTGGGATTAGAATCTTGCTAATAATAATTTGTGGCCATCTTAATTTCAATGGTAAGTTTAGATTTTTGTACGTTTTGAGAGCATTTTATGGATTCTAAAATCTTTAAAAGAGGTATTATCTTATGCATCAGAATATGTTGATACATTTATTCTAAAATCTATTAGTTATTGTGGTGAAGTCTATGGATCTTTATAGAGAAACCATTATTCAAGATTCACCAGTCAAACTCAAATATTGGGTTCCATGACATCGTGATTGTTCTTTGTAACGAGTGATCATGTTTAAAAATTAGGTTTAGAAATGTATAAGC